CATGCTGGGTAATTGATCCCATACATGAACTCAAAAAATCAGCAAAAATGATTAGTAACTCTCAGGATTGTATCCAATGAACTAACGCAGCTGCTTGGATTGAATGAATATAAGTAAAGTACTATCGGAACTTACAGCATCATAGCAAGAAAAGCAAGCAAATAATTTAAAACAACTAATACGAGTTAAAAAAGATTTGCGCTTTACTTAGACCAAAATTAAGGCATCATTGATGCAGTTCAATTAATGACTAAATTTCAACTAAGTTTACATACCAGCTTCAATCAGGAGATAGATGAGCCAAACTTAGCCGATACATCATAACAAAGTCGATGAGGAAAAATTCGTTTCTTTATTCCATAATACTTCCTTGGAAATCTATAACAAAGCTCTTGCACATTCCTTTAAAGATCGCTTTAAGCTATTCAATTTTTTTAAATAGACAACTTTGTGGTTTTTGAATGGGTAGGATGATTTCAAAGGATAATAGAGCAAATTATTTGTCTTCGTACTTGCACCATATATATATATAAAGGCCAAATAATTCAAACGAAAGAATGAAGACCAAGATGGTGTGGCCTTTAGTATGGTCGCGGTCTCCCTTCGTAGAATAGTAGTTATTCAACTGTTTTCGCAGCATCCTAATTCTCTCCCTGAGTATAGTTTTAAGCAAACAACTCAATACCTATCATGTTTCTTTATTAGTAGAATTAGTAAATGCTAGAGAAAATATTTTTTTCGAAACTCGGAAAACTTGCCTAGGTCTCCTCAGCACCTAGAGCATGACTCTAACAGTGATAATGCAGCAAATAATCCCGAAAGATTAACCACTACGCCACACTGTCACGAGTGTCGTTGGGTTAAAGAGCAGCTGTGAATTTCAAGGACAGGCCTTTTTTCACATCACATCCTGTCGATGAAGCAAAATTGTATTTGCTACAACAATCAATTGCATTGCTTATTTCTCATTTATAGTTAGATTTTCGAGACTACCAAGAGATAATATATGTAAGAGTAAGCTTACTCATAACCGAAAATAAGTAACATACTCAATTGCTATAGCAAATATTTCTTTTATTCATCGACAATCCAACCAGAGAATGTAATATGGAAAACTACTTGGCTTTCCTGTATATTCAGATGTAATCTGTTACCCAATGTCATTCCTGGTATTGTAGAGTAATAAATAACATTTTAAGAGTATATGCTGCACTATCACGATTAGAGTCCGCCTGGACGTGCTGAAGAAACCTAGACAAGTTCGAAATTACAGTCCACTCCTGGCCTGCCTGGAAGAGAATAACTTTTGGGAAGCAAGTGAAATTTAATGGAAACGTAAGGCCTAATCATGATAATAAATTGTGATAAAATTTAACTGTGAGTTCTCAATCTCCTTAACGAAATATAGGGAATACATCTCATAACCATAATTTAAACATTCATGTAAAATATCGATAAACCTTATAATTACAATCATGATATATTCGAGTTCATAATCGGTCATGAATGCTCACAAGTATTTGCTTTTATATAGTAACGAAACTATTAAAACATTGGTTAGAGATA